ATCAATTCCATAGATACATTCTAAATAATTGTGATGAGGTCAACCCATTTAGAAGTTAAGAACATCTAGTCATACATCTTAATGTTTTATCACTCTTCTTTACTTTGAAAAATTAGTTAAGCATATTTGGACTTGATTGGCTAGGCAACATGAGGAATTCTTGAAAAATCAACATCGTCGAGCAAGGCTGACTGTGCGACAAATCAAGGAGCTAAGCAAGAAGGAATTTCTAGAATGGTTCAAGCAACATGTGAATTAATATAACGGTCACATTATTACTTTTTTTTTTAATTTTTTTTTTTTTACATTTTAATTATGACGTGTTTATATTTGTTGTGTCAATTTTTATCCTTTTACTTATTACAGATTAATTTAAGATGTCATGCTAATGACATCTTGATATTTAAAGACTTGCTGGCTAGCCAATTATCCTAGTAGGGTTGTGATGAAATATAAAAGTCACATTATTCATGGGTTCATATTTCGTACAAAATCTGTGGACGATAAGCATAAGAATCAAAATTGTGGTGTCTTTGTACCTGTAAATGTCCCTGGTGCAATTGGGCAAGTGAATTGTTATGGCAAAGTCATAGACATGTTTGAGGTTAGATATTGTGGCCTTACTGAAGCAGGAGACAAGGGTCAAGCTGTGATGTTGTTTAAGTGCGAATGGGTTCATAGTGAAAGTCCAAGAGGTATGAAGACCGATCAATATGGATTTACTTTAGTACACTTCAATCGATTGGGATTTAAAGAGGATCATTTCATATTAGCTTCACAAGCATTACAAGCATTGTATGTCGAGGACACAATTGAAAAAGATTGGCATGTTGTTGTTCGAACGCAGCCGAGAGATTTGTTTGACGTATTAGAGGATAATGATGCACTTGATGACTATGCCATACCTGATTTGGATGATCGTGTACTTGACAATGAAAATTTGCATACAAGGGTTGGCGTGGAAGAGACTCCTTTTCACGAAGTATTACCATTGCCTACCCAGTTCCCTCATTTTGTCAATGACGATGATGACCTAATAGAAGATGAAATGGAATAGTTGTATTATGGGATAGTTTGGATGTGGTCTCTAATCCTTAACATTCTTTGACTAAAACCTTAATGGTTTTCAAAGTTTGATCAAAGTCCCTTGACTTTGTACACCTCATTATATTACTATTAATATTTTTATTTTTATAGTTTTGACATGAATTGTTTGATATTTTATGAGATTTATAATCCTATAAATTTAAAGTTCCTCATTATAATACTATTAGAAACGGTTACAATAAAAAAATTCAAACGTTTTGATTGAATAAATGAATATAAACTATGTAACAATAAGAAATAATAAATGGCAAAAGAATGTATCCATAGTGTTAAAAAAATTGGTACATTTTGCAAAAAAAAATGATACATTTCACATATAACAAAGTGGTACATTAATAAAGAAGAATGGGTACATTATTAATAAATTAGGGTACAAATAAAAGATTAAAAAATTATGAATACAAATGAATTTTTTAAAAATATGGGCGCTAAAAAAAATTAATATATGGATACAAATTAAAACTAAAAAGAAAATACTACAAATTTAAAAAAATGTTGCAAATTAAAAGTGGGTACAAACTAAAAATATAAATATATGATACAAAATTTAGCCATAAAACATAAATATACCATATGTAATTTTTCAATCATTGACTAAATATATAATGTCACGTGACGGTAAACATATGGGTACAAATACAAATAAAACTTTAAAAAAAATATGGGCACAAAAAGAAACTAATATATGGGTACAAATTAAAAAAGAAAAGAAAATTGGTACAAATTAAAAAAGATTTGCAAATTAAAAATAGGTACAAACTAAAAATATAAATATATGATAAAAAATTTAGCCATAAATATAGATATACTAATTGTAACATTTTTAACACTAAAGGAATATATTTAAAAATAAAAATATTTTATTATTCAAATAATTAATGATGTTATTAATACCCAAGGTCCTTAATCAAAAATTGAAAATGAATAGGATGTTAATCAATGTAGTAGCAAAATGAAGGATGTGAACCTAATTTCTCCTTGTATTATTTACCTTATGCTTTTTAAGTATTAATTAGACTATATTTCAATTTGTGTGGTGACTTTTATTTAAAATATTTTAGTTTGTGCGCTAAAATTTAAAATGTTATTTAAAAACGCATGGTTTAAATTTATTTTTTATGTTTTAGTCATTCCCTGTTGGATATAACCGACACGAACATAACAAAATTTTGGGCGGGATATTTCCTGAGACTTTGATTCAAAAAAATTAAAGGCGCACAAAAATCGATGGAGGAAAATTTTGTGGTGGTTTTTTGATATTTTTGTCGGTTATAACCGACACAAACCTGACATGCATATTAAATAGGCAAGCACTTTTTGATCGGGTTGTCAGATATAACCGACACTATTTACTATATTGTCAGTCATAACCGACACTACTCTGACATCTATAACTGCACCGTTCTGACATACATAAATGCAGTGTACTGATAGAAACATAAAAGCTTTGTCGGATTTTAATTTCCTAGTGATTTTAGTTGAATTTCTATCGGATATAACCGACAATATTTATTACCCTCAACTACTTCCCATTTTTGCATCAGCTTCTCTTTCCCATTTTCACTTTAGCTGTTCTTTTCCTTCCCATTTTCACTCCTTACTATTCTCACCTCTACCCATTTTCACTCCTCTTTCCTTTTCCATTTTCACATCCACCCATTTCTATGGAGGAACAAAATGAACGTAGGGGAATATCATATTTCTTGATGAAGACCTTGATAGAATGCTTGTGCTTCATAACATGACTCTCCATGTTGCGGATCATGCATACAAGGAATATCATAATTGTTTGAAAGCGGAGTATTACACCAAAAGACAAGAGCATGAGCGCTCAAAACCCCCCTTTGGTGTGGATGGTGGTCAGTGGGTCGAGATGTTAGAGTATTGGGATAATCCTAAAATAAAGGTAAAAAATTAATGATTTGATATTTGGTATTGAAATATGTTTGTCTTATAAGGGTTTCTTTTTTTTCTTTTTTTTTAATTATTTTTTTAATTTTTAATTTTTTAACTTTTCAAGAGGTGGCAGAGAAAAACAAGTATAATCGGGAGTTAAAAACAATGAACCATACAACTGGTTCAAAAACGTTTGCTCAGGTTTGCGAGGAATTGGTATGTGTTGCTATTTTGTAATATATGTAGTGTTTTTTGTTTTTTTATTTATAATATGGGGGTATTTGTTATTCTCTTTTAACATATTTAAAGAAGAACAAGCATGGTAAGGAGCTGGATCCCATCTCTTTTTTTTCAAGCTACCCATACCCAGAAAGATGACTCTTGGGTTGATGAATCGTCACAACAAAAAGGGGTAAATGATTTGTAACTCTATTCAGATTATGACACATTATTTAAACACAAAATCTATGTTTATATGAACCTTGTTTAAATATTATATTGCAAGAGATCTATGGAGAGTCAAATTTAGTCAATTGTTGAGTCTGGAGAAGAGGACGCCTCTGAGGTTAGAACACAGATTTATGTTGAGCAGATGGGTTCTAAGACTAGAAATAGGGTTTGAGGTTATGGTCATGGGGTGATACTAGAGATAGTGTCATATGCAAGCTCTTCAGGTGTGAGGTCTTCTAGGAAATCATCCAGAGGTGCATTGGCCAAGGTGGTAGTTGAGAACAACGAATTAAGGAGGAGGGAGGAATAAGCCTCTAGAAAGGTGGCGGAGGTAAAGGCTGAGCTTGAGAAATCAAAGACCTTGTAAGAGCAGGTAAACCAGCAGTAGCAGGCGATGAACCAGTAGTTCTTGATGCAGCAACAACAAATATTGATGTTGCTTATTCCACAACATTTGCAGCGGCCACCACTCAGCCCTCGAGCATCACAGCATTCAACCCCTGGTCAGTCACTTGTGCCTGCATATCCCAAGCAACATATGTTGTTTCAGCCGCAGTATCCAATGCCAGTATATTGACCTCATATAGCTTCTCTTGGTGACTCACATATTTCTCCAGGTGGTTTCAATGGTGGATTATCTCCGGGTTTGTTTTCTAGATTGTTGTCGGGTAGTTTTGATGGGGATGTGCTAAGGTATTTGGGAGCACATGGAGGATTAGCAAAAGGCTTTGGATCACAGGAAGGATTGGATGAAGGCCAGGAGCACAAGGAGGTTTGGCAGAAGGCTAGGGTTCTATTGAATAGTTTGTTGGTTTTCCTTACGGATATGTCTGACACTTTATCAACGTCGAACAAATGTTTTTTGTCTAGTTATGTATTATGGCAGATTCTGATGACTGTATTGTAGGTTAATTTATATTTAACGTCTACTTTATGTGTTATGGTGGATTCAAAAGACATTATAGTAGGTTAATTTCTATTTGAATGCATATTATGTTTGTTACAAGCTTTGATTATTTTATTCACTTATTAATTTTTTTTAATTCATTCTGTAAAATTTAAAAAACAAATAGAAAGTTTCGTATTTTTTTTAATTATTAATATTTTTCTGTCCATTGAGACTGACGGAAAATAGTAGATTTTATGTTTTAAAATTTTTCTGTCGGTTAGGATTGACAGGAGGAGGATGTGAATTTGACGATATTTTTAATTTTCTGGCGGTTAGGATCGACATTAATTGGTAATATCCGACAATAATTTGGCATTGATTGTCGGTTATAGCCGACACAATTTTTGTCGGTTTTAGAGTATTTTCTGTTAGAAAATTCATTTCCTAACACAGGCAATTCTGTCGCTTATTATATCCGCGACTGCATCCATTTTCTGTAGGATTTTGTTAATATCTGACAATAATATATGTTTTTTGTCAGTTATCAAAGCGCCACTAATAAATGGTTATGTAGTAGTGTGTTATTGATACTTCAAAAATCTGATTTTGCACTTCAAATTTTTATAATTAGAATGAAAATATATACTTATAAGGAGTGTAGAATGAGATTTTTGAGTGCAAATAGTAGCTCCCAATTTAAAATATGTGAATTTTATCAACCTAAAATGGTCCGATTATGTAAACAAGTATTTAGTTAGTGAAAAGAGGGCTGCCGAAACTAATAAGGGAAGAAGGAAGAAATAGAGAAGATGCTAACGGTTGCCGGCCTTCAAACAAGTATTTATTTGTCCTTTCCAAACCTTACGAAAGAAATAGGTGCCTGCCGGATTTGGATGGGGGTGTCAAAACTAATAAGTCAAGAAGGAAGAAATAGAGAATATGCTATACCATTGCTAAAAAAAAATACAAATAAGGAAATAAGGAAGGAAGAAAGAAAGAAAGAAGAGGAGCCAAAATAATTGAAACCAGAAGCAACAATGGCAGCAGCAAAGATGATAGGATCAGCACTGCTGGGAGGCTTTGTGTTATTCGTATTATATGTCTATGAATCTTTGGTCTTAAAGCCAAAGAGGCTAAGATCAAAGCTTCAAAGGCAAGGGATCAGAGGGCCTCCCCCTTCATCAATTCTCTTAGGCAATATCCCGGACATGAAGAGCATCAAACTCAAGGTGATGAGGGAGAAGTCAACAGCTACAGAAACAAGTAGTACCAGTGTCTCAAAAGACCAGCATGTTTCGATTGATCATGATTGGCCTTCAACCCTTTTCCCTCATTTAGCGCAATGGCGAAACGACTATGGTAGACCATTTCTGTCATCATAATCTGTTTATGTACTTTATTTTACAATAACATAGTGGTCGAAAAGTAACATAAGCAGTCTTGTAGTTACCTTATCAATTGTTTGCTATGTAAGCAGACCTGTAGATGGTTTTGTTTAACATGGTTATCTCAGCTCTTCCATATTATTATTATTTTTTAATAGTAACAAAAAGGAGGTGACCAGACTTTCCTTTTGTTTTCGCTCTCTTCCAGCTGTCTTCGGTATGCTTATTTAGTGTATAATGGTGGCAGGGCCAAACTTCACATATTTAACTGGAAGCATACAGCAATTAAGCATAACAGATTTAGAAATGGTAAAGGAAGTTTGTTTGTGTAGATCTTTGAACTTAGGGAGGCCTACTTTCGTATCTAAGGATCGTAAGCCACTGTTCGGCCAAGGAATTATAGCGTCAAATGGTCCAATTTGGTTGCACCAAAAAAAAATTATTGGTCCAGAGTTCTACTTTGAAAGGGTTAAGGTAAATGACCACTAAACCTCTGACTAGAATTATTGAATTTACTCTTTCAAAGTTTAATTCGGCAATCACCAAATTGACTGCTTAATTTTAAGGGTATGGTGGATTTGATGGTGGACTCCACAACCACCATGTTGAGATCTTGGGAGAGTAAAATCGAAAACGAAGGAGGAAGTGCAGCCTTAGAAGTTGATAAGGATTTGAGAAGCTTGTCGGCCGATATTATATCAAGAACGTCGTTTGGAAGTAATTATTCACAAGGGAAAGAAATATTTTTAAAGCTCAGAACTCTTCAGAAGATCATGTCCCAGGGAAACACTGGTGTACCGGGTGCGAGGTATCTATATATAACAATATAAGAAAGCTCATGTTCATCATACTTTAAGCATTTAATAATACATATACCACAAATGGAAAAAATTTCTGTAGCCGGTTATATATATATGGTACAAAGAGTTTTCTGTATACATTTTCTCCATAAAAGCTTACAATGGTGTCAGTAAATACCTCCTCGGTATCATACTAAAGGTTTGTTAAATGTATGAATGCCAGACACTTACCAACGAAAAACAACAGATTGATATGGAGATTAGAGAAAGAGATCCGTGCTATGATTTTAAGGGTTGCGAAGGAACGCAGTACTGAGTCTACTTGTGAGAAGGATCTTCTGCAAATAATACTCGAGGGAGCCAAAAATTATGAAGACGCTCCTAGCCTATTTTCAGGTATATCCCAGGATAGTTTTATAGTGGATAATTGCAAGAGTATATACTTTGCTGGCCACGAAACCACTGCCACAGCAGCGTCTTGGAGCTTGATGTTATTAGCTGCACATCAAGACTGGCAAACTTGTGCGCGTGCTGAGGTGCTTGAATTTTGTAGGGATGGCATTCCAGATGCTGATTTGCTTCGAAACATGAAAATAGTACGTCACTTACCATATACGCTAACAAATAACCCCTATAAATATATGTGTGTGTGAATGAAATGTATATCTGCACTCCTTTGACCAAAAAAAAAAAAAAAAAAATTTATATCAGCATTCCCATGGGCACACAAGTTCTACACACTCTGGTACTGGAAGTACTATGTTACCCTACACATTTTTGTGTAATACGAATTGATACTCTTTCTACGAAAATGGTACGCAATTTATTCATAGCTAATTGTACAAATGATGGCAGTTGAATATGGTGATTCAAGAGACATTGCGCCTGTACTCACCATCAACGGTTGTTGCAAGAGAAGCCTTGGAAGATATTGAGCTGAAAGGCATTCTAATTCCCAAAGGAACGAACATTCAGATTCCAATTCCTATTGTGCATCGACTTCCTGATATCTGGGGTCCCGATGCCCATGAATTCAATCCGAAAAGATTCGAGCATGGAATTGCTGGGGCTTGCAAGTTTCCTCAGGCTTATATGCCATTTGGAGTTGGTGCTCGTATCTGTACTGGCCAACACTTTGCCATGACAGAGTTGAAGGTGATTCTGTCACTTATTCTGTCCAAGTTTTCCTTCTCACTATCACCAGAATACCAACACTCCCCGGCTTATACGTTGGTTATTATGGAACCCGAGCACGGAGTACGTCTCCATATGAGGAGAGTGTGACTAGTTGTGTTTTCGTAGAGATGTACTGATATGTTGTGGATGTTCGATTTTACAATGAGTAATGATACGTAATGATAGTTTAATTAATTTCGTATTTATAGCCGAGTTTGAGGATTTAGGGCTTCAAGCAACTTTTGCTTTGCGGTTTATGGAGCTTTGGGGGTGTACTTTGTTCTGAAAGGGTTTTTCCTAACCTGCATCTTAATAATATTTTGATATTCAATTATGATGATGTGAAATTAATTCTCATTTGCTAGGGCGAGGCTACGAGCCTTAGCCTGCTTGTTTTGAATTTTCAAAGCATGTTTACTTATTCTTTCAATTTACTTACGATGTTATATGCATGCTTGATTTGAATTTTCAATCTTCTATGTCTTAATGGTTAACTATCATTAGGATGTTTAGTTGGAATGTCACCTGCAATGATTAATGCTTCTGTTGGCCCTTAAAAATACCAAGCCTACGTGGTGCACGAGCAACTAAGAGCTAACTACATCCTTCTGGTCAATGCGGGTGTGCTAACTCGCGACTGAGCTTGGTCGGTGAGTAAGATAAATATGGTGGTCTAATGCACTGCAAACTTCTGTGCTCGAGCGATCACGACCGAGGAAGCAACACGTCTCGAACTTGGGTTCTAGAACTTGTAGCCGAGGTTGCTAATTTACTATGAAATTCAAATAAGGTTCGTCGTACAATGTGCGGAACATCGAGTAACTTGATAACACCACACTTCGCCGAAAGGTTATTGAGATGACCTCTTCAATGAAAGAATCAAAGACTCCTCACTGGCAGAGACTTGGATAAGTAATTAGCCGAACTTGAAGTAGTGCTGTTAATTCAAACTAAGGAAACTTCTTGACCGTCTAATTCTATGGCTCCAGTGTTGTTAATCCAAACTGAAGATGTCTCTGGTTATCAACGCAGAGTTGTTACTCTAAACTGAAGATGTGTTAACGAAGTGGTTAGGGTACTTAGTAACTTCTTAGAGTGTGAGAAAGATCCATGTAGAGCAAGGTTTTATGCAGAGTGTTTATGTGTTGAGTTGAAGGTCTTCTCCATATCACCAAACAACTTCTATTTATAAGGGTGAATTTCATGATGACCGCGTATATCGAAGTAAAGTTTCAACAGGACTATGACTATTTGGCATATACCTGTATATTCTTGATATTGTCCCATCACTAACCAAAACTAGTTTGGCCATTGTCTCAGACACTTTAACTTGAACCAGGATTCTGAACCTAGTCCTCTTATGTGTTCAATTCACTTCCCTTATTTGATCAGTCATGTTTTGATTGTTGGAATGATTCGAGTCTTATCAAAACCATCCTAATCATTAGCAGTTTCAATTCAATCAGGACTCAGCCGAATCATTCGTAGATTGAATCCTCTATGGTTCCTACTTCTACCAAGATTCGACCAAATCATTACTTGGGCTGACTATCCTTTAGCCTGAGCAATCTATTATTGTGTTGAGAGTTACTCAAGCTAGGTTATCCTATTTTGGCCTAAACCCAATATTTTAGGTTCAAAACATTGTTCCCTCGCTTCTCAAATCCTCAGTCATGAACACCTGGCCAGAGGTTGAAGAAGCAGATGCTTCTCAACCAACCACTAATTAACATTTATTGCATTGGTTTCTATGTTCATGCCACTTTGCCTCAATTGACACAATTTTGCCATGCGTCGAATTCTTATGGGCACTGTTCTAAAAATCCCCACCTAGCGCTGCCTAGGCCCCTTCTAAGCGCTAGGCAGCTGGCCACCACCCCAATTAATGTCGAGGCATTTGAAAATTAAGAAAGGGTACTAGACTTACTGAGGCGCTCACCTAGACCGCTTAGGCACCCACCTAGCCTGGCCAGACCCGCCTAGGTTGCGACTCACTTAGACAGAAAATGCATAACTTTCAATAAATTATAAGAGACTTGTTGAATACTTAAATGAGCACACATTATATGCTTATACCCATACTTTCATTATGTTCTAACACTTCATAATATATATGTCATTTTATTTTGTAATTTATGATGAAATTATATATATTTTAAGTATAAACAGACACTTATTTACACAAAATATAATAGATTTACATAAATCCGCCTAGTCCGTCTAGACGCCGCATAACTGCCTAAGCACTGGGCTTTAGCCTGCCACCCGACTAGTGTCTTTTAGAACCTTGCTTATGGGGTCTCTCCAGCTTTGTCCATTCCATACACTACACTCTCGAGACAACCTGGCCACCAAAGTGTCAATCCTTGATAGACACGCTTCGAAAATCAAGACTCGTCAGCCCCGTGTTCACTTGGGCAGCATGAAGCAGCTTAAAGGCATCATTAAATCCTGTGTTCACTCGAGATTTCCTTGATTATAAAAAATTAGAACCCTAAACTCCCGAAGGTTTTGCGTATAAAAGCCTCCAGAAACTCTGCGCGTTTGAATTCAACCTTTCAAATATCTAAACTATTTTCCAGAATTCATCCAACCCTTAAACCTTTCTAAACGACTCAAACTCAAACCTCCTATTCTTATTGCCAAAAGATCTCCAACAAGCTTCAAAGAATCAAAAACTCCGTCGATCACTAAACCACTAAACTATTTAGTTATCGTGATGAATATGATGCTAGCCACCAAGTCTTCGGCCCTTTGGTCAAGGATTATATCCTGAACTTAATTACCTCACAAATGAAGAAGAATATGATAGAACCGCTTTTCCAAGGCAGCAACTGGGCTAAGTAAGAGGTTACCAAGCGTTAGGTGGCCTAGCCTTTGGCCTCAACTACTTGGGTCACATGGCTTAACCAAACGGAATCCCATTTCAACAGCTCATGGAAGAGTCTGGGCATATTCGATGCCATTAAGATCTTTAGCATTGAGATCAACATGGACTACGAACTCCTGATGGCGGTTTTTGGTGCCCGACCACCAATATGATGATTATTCCTTTTGGCCCAATAAGCCCGACTGTGTTAGACATCATTGCCATCCTTGTCACACTTCCACCCGGCGTCACGGTTGATACTAGGGGTGGGCATGGTGCAGTTCCACCCCTAAACTGGAGCCGGAAAATATCAATGGTTTGGTCGGTGCTGTTCCGTTTAAATTTATTACTAGAACTTTACAGTTTGGTCTACACTGGTTCCGATTCGGTTTTTGCTGGTCTACAATTCCAAATACTAAATTATTTGAACACCAAATCATCATGCATTCAAATACATCTTCTAAAATTGATTATATAAAGTTGCATATAACACATATTCTTTTTAATGCAAATGTCTTTCGTTAGAGGCACCAAGTCAAAAAAAGGAGAATTAAAAGAAATATGCATAAAAACACAAAGCAGTCATACAGACTCACTAGTCTTTACTCTGGCATATGACTTGCCTTGTTTAATGGTAGGTGATTTCACCCAAAACTCATTCGATGGACTTAAGAGACTCAAGTACTAAGTATATTAAATGTCCATAAACAAATGCAAGTGGTTATGCCCCTTCATACGTGTATTAGGGTGTTGAGTATGTAAATGATTGAATAAAGCACACATCCAATTGAAAGTGCAACCTAAAGGCTTTCTTCTAGTTGATTGACCAGAAATGCTGATACACAACCCCTGCAACCATTCCATTTCCCAGTTCCATGTCTACTCCAAGTATTCTAGACTTTTGTTATTGGTTTTATTCTTTACCATGCCTCTGCAACTAAGTTTCTACAATAAGTCCAAATCAAAAGTTGTAATTAACTAATGCAGTTAACTCTGTTATAGGTATGAAAGCTTACGAGGCGATCAACAAGCGAGTGATGCCAAGCAATTGAAGCCTGTTCCTCTCAATGTAATCGTGACAGAGAAACCAGAGATTGCTGTAAAATTACAAAGACATAACAATCTTAGAATCAGGATGGCAACATTAGGTAAATGTCAAACATATGCCATCTCTTGTTTATTTTTCTTCTAGGGTTTTGGGGTAAGGAGAGAATGGAAAACCAGTAGAACTCAACCATATTCCCAATCTCAAATATGAGAAAAGATAGAGAAAATACCAAAGAGAGCCATAACAAAGATAAGCTCAAAAGCAATATAACTTACATCTTCCTCCATTGGTTGGCTGTGAAGAAAGAGAAATAAACACAAAACCAAAGAAAGAGGAAAACTTATTAGTACTTCATTAAATAAAAGCTAAGAAGAAATTCCATTGACACATCAAATTAATCATTACCTCATCTCAAACAGAGGTTTCTAAGAACTTATTAATCCAAAAGCTGAACCTGGGAAGGAACAAGATATATCAAGTTAACTGGTATCAAGTAAAAGCTGAACAACAGACACTATTAATACTGATCATCAAAATGGCAACAATATTTTAGAAGTCTACAATAGTAATTACTAAATGAGATCTCGTAAATTCAGTGGATGCATCATGCCAAATCGAAAACAAAATTGCAACTATGTAAATCAACATTAAGAAAGCAAAAATAAGGTGGACCGTGTTTGATAATTCAGTTCAAACAAATATTAGTACATTTATAATGGCCATACCAGGGGGAACAAAATTTTTGGATGAGAGGCCGTGAGTGAGGTGGGCGGCGACTCGGTTGAGTAAAGAAGGAATGGAAATCTAAAAGTATGAAATGGGGGGTGAGGCCATGAATGAGGGTGAGGGTGAGGTGGGTGAGCCCTAATTGGGATGGGATCCACTGCTTTCCAACTTGGTGAAATTAAATTTTCAATCTATTATACCATAACATGTGTGTATTTATATAATTAATTAATTTATTATTAATAAAATGGTTTGGTTCGGTTTCGGCTGGTTCTTGTTCATTTGAAACCGGAATTGGAACCGATTTGAAACGGTCCGGTTCGGATTTTCACTCAAAGTTGACTTTTTCGGTCAACGCGGTTCATTTTTATTTATTTTCATACGGTTCAATGCGGTTTTACAGTTTGGTTATTTTTATGCCCACCCCTAGTTGATGCATCCCTTCTAACCTTCAAATATTATATA